CCTCGGAAACCCAAGGAGGGGTCGCTATGAGTCAGATCCGACTCAACGGCAGTGAGTACCATAACCAATTCAACTTACTTGGCTTTCCTATATTCTAGTTAACCAGAGCTGAGCTATTTCTTTCAAGTCTGTCTTATACCCAGCTTTAGTCAAAATGTTTTTTTTCTGGTTCACCTAAACCATGACTTAGTTGCCTCTAGGATTTCTTTAAAAAAAAAAAATCACTAAGGCATTGTTATGTGCCCTCAAGTCAGATCTGACTCATAGCAACCCCTCCTTGGGTTTCCGAGGCAGCACCACTATGGAAGTAGATTGCCCAACCATCCTTCCGAGGAGTGGCTGGTGGTTCTGGTTAGCAGTCAAGTGCCTTAGGCACTATGCTACCAGAGCTCCCTGAGTTATGGTAGTGGGTGTCAAACACAAGATGCTTTGTTTTGGGAACACAGTCTACTTACAGCCATTTATAATCTCCCCCCTCTATCAGACTTATTATCTTTTCTCTCTAGTTCACACAGGGTCCTCTTTTAGCTTTCTTTTCCTATCTAAATGTCAACTAAATCTTGATTTCTCAAGATGATCAATCTAGTAAAAGTTGTCTCTCTCAAATGACTAATACATAATCAGATATTTGAAAGGAAAGCATAATCAGCTGAATTAATGGATTTTGCTCCTTTCTACCATTACTCTCACTAAAAATGTTTAAAGGAAGTTTGGTAAGAATGCAGTTTCAATAGAGGTAGTTATTCTAAAAACATACCAATGACTATTTTGCCATCTATTTTCTCTAAGATAAAGCGAGCTTGATTGTTCAGCTTAGCAGATTCAGCACCAAGCATTCCTAGAAGCCATTCTTTTCGTAATCCATAATATTTAAGCCTGAGTTCAAAGAAGTCTCTTAGAATATCCAGTACTGTGTCATATTTCTTTAAACAGCCTACATGGTCAAAAAGCACCTAGAACAGGAAAACATGGTTAGAGCCAGGGCAGATAGATAAACTGGTTAAATTTCATTGAAAGAGTTGTATATATTTATATGTATTTTTTCACATATATTTATATAAAGAACTTTTTTATATTCATTAAAAGTATAAAAGTAGCCTAAGATATCATTTTAAAAATTTATATTAATCTTTAATATAAATTGAAACACATGTCTTTCATTATGAGACATACCATAGAGTTGCATGTGAGACTAGTTTGAAGCTTGAAGACTTTGTGCAATCCAACTCTCTCTGCCTCTGCTAGTTTTTCTTCACTCATCTTCACAACAAACTTCACTGTGGTATCTGTATGATATTCCCTATAGTCTGTTATGAGAGGAGGTGTCTTCTCAGTGCCATTCAGCATGGGCTCTAGAACCTGTTCTTTATATGTCTAAAGAAAGAAATAATCCTTCTGTAAATTTTAAAATGTAGGCTCCTGAATATTCAATAAGCAACAGTACAAAAATGCCGTTCCCCCAAATCTAAAAGTAAAAAAAAGAAATCCACAATTATTTACCTGGGTCCATGTTCTGATGGGAAGCTCTGAGATTTCAATAGTCGTGGAATTAAGAATAGCTACTTCACCACTAATCACATATTGATTTGAAGCCAGTTCTTCAATAGTTCCTTTGAAGTTCTTGTAACTTGGAAGCTAAATTGATATTTACAAAAAGAATGTTTTTTAAATGTGATACTGAAGACAGAAATCACAATGGCATTAATTAATAAATCTAACATTAAAGTATAAAATAATTTTATATTTGTGTCCTCGTAGAACACCAAAGGGAAACTAGGGCACCTAAGGCACTTAGAATAGTTACCATTGGCAAAAGTTCTTCTCCATCCATCAATCTCCTGATGTTATTCACAACTTCACGAACATCAAAGTTGGGGATTTTGCAGGACCACCCAGTACCAATTCCTTCAGCCCCATTTATCAGGACCATGGGTATAATAGGAATGTACCATTCAGGCTCAACACGTTGGTTGTCATCATATAAGAACTTTAGTGTGTGATCATCTTTTGATGGAAATAACAACCGAGCTAAAGGGCTAAATAAAACAAAGAAATGTTATTTTACAAAAATAAAAGCTTTGATATTTAACTTTTGTGGAAAAGTGTTACCTCATACTTATACATGAAAATTACCTTAGCTTTCCCTGCTGTTTAATATGCTTTCAGTCATATCTATTGAATACTCTATGTGAGAGAGCTTGGCTGCTAACCAAAAGATTAGCAGTTTAAACCTACTAGACATTCTGTGGAAGAAAGATGTGGCAGTTTGGTTCTGTAAAGATTTAGAGCCATGGAAACCCTTTGGGGCAATTCTACTCTGTCCTTTAGAGTTGCTATGTGTCAGAGTCAACTCAATGCCAGTGAATTTGGTTTGGCTGTATTGGCCAGGCACTGGGAACACAGCAACGAATAAAACCAAGTCTCAGCCCTCAAGGAGCTCACATTCTAGTACAGGGAGATAGACAATGTATATTTTGTCAATGGTAGGGTAAGCGCTAAGAAGAAAAATAAACTAGGTAAAAGTGATTGAGGGAATGCTAAGGATAGGTAAGTACTTTCTGATAGGATAACATTTGAATAGAGAGAAGAAACTGAAGGAATGAAGTATATGGTATCAGGAGAAAGTGTTATGGGCAGAAGACCAGTAAGTAAAAGACCGTGAAGAGGGAGTATCCATAATAAGAGGCCAATGTAACTGGAACAGAGATGCTATGAGATGAAATCTGAGAATATGGGGAGTGGTGGTGCAGATTGCAAAGGGTCTGGCTAGCTAAAATGAAAGCTTTAGATTTTACTCTGAATGATGCAGTTGGAAGGCTCTGAGAGTGACATATTTTTAAAACCTGCTGTATTAAAGTACGAAAGAGTATTATGAAAGTCCAGACGAATCTTAACAAGAGGGTGGCATCAGTGAGAGTGGTCAGTTCCTGAACATTTTTCCAATATAGAGCCCATAGAATTTTCTGATGGATTAGACACAAGTTTGGAGAAAAGGAGTCAAATGTGACTATGTTTTTAGCTTATGCAATTAAAAGGATGGAGTTTTATGTACTGAAACAGAAGATTTGGTTTTGGACTTATGCTTGAGATACTTATTAGAGGTTTGGGCTGAAGATTTAAAGCTGTGGGACTAGATGGATGGGAGATCACTTGGGAAGTAAATATGGATAGTGGAGAGATGAAGGAGTTTTGGGACAGTCCAGTATTTAGAGGTTGGAAGATGAGAAGAACCCAGCAAAGAAGACTAATGAGGAGAAGAAGCAATACAGTCTGGTTTTTAAAGGTCAAATGAAGAAAGAATAGTTTTAAGAAAGATAGAGTGATCCAAAGGAAGGCAAATTTCAGTTGTGGTATTTAAGAATCAAGCTCTTCTTTATTCACACCCAACCCCAGTATTTCTCAATGTCAGCACTACTATAGACATTTTGAGCTGGGTAATTCTGTTGTAGGGAGCTTTCTTATGTATTACAGAATGATTAGCAACAACCCTGGCATCTGCTCACCAGATGCCATTTAGCACTGACCTCCCTAGTCATGACATCAAAACTGTCTCCAAACATGGCCAAATGTCCTCTAGAGGGCAAAATCTACCCTGTTTGAGAACCACTGTTCTATATGAAGAAAATAATAATATAAATAAATAAATAAGACATGGAAGTGAAAACTTTTATGGTTTGGCAAGGAATCAAGGAATACAAAGTCTATAGGTATTAAGTTGAAATAGGATTTTGACTTTCTGCTTATTGCAAAGAACACTGTAATTAAACCTTAACTAATTCTCTCACATTGCTTCAAAATTGGAAATGGCAATTTCACTAAAAATTGAAAGTGTACTGACCTGAGCATTGTGAAGATGTATCGAGGACTAGCAGAATCCTTGCCTCCGTGCAGCCTTGTACCGAACTGACCAATAGGCTGCAAGAGGTTCAGATTATTGCTGCCCACAAAATTCTGAGCCAAATTGATAATGGTCATCATTAGTGACATCTGGAGGGGGGAAAAAAAGATTTCTTAATATGGTAAGTAAGTTTCTAATAATACATATTCATACAAGCCTCATTTTAATTCTAGGTTTTACGAGGTTCAGATGTTTAGTGACTTGCCCCAGATTAATACAAGACAGAACTCTTAAACCTAAAACCTCTGGCTCTAAGTTCAAAATGTTCTTGCCTTCCAATAACTTCTACCTATTAAGTCCTACTTATCCATAAAGGAATAGCTCAAATGTCTCCCTTCCTCTCATTACCCTTAGCAGAATGAAATACCTCCTCCTTTGTGTTATAGCACTACTCATTTCTATTATAGAACATTTATCACTTTATTCTACATTTGTGTGTGGTGGCCTAGTGGATAAACTATGATTACTCTGAAGGTAGGGAACATATAATTTATTTGGCTTTATCTACCTGGTACCTGCTAAGGAGTCAGCAAATATTTGTTGGGTGAATATTTAGTAGCCCTCTCCAATTCTCAGGAATAACCAAAGTTAATTTAGAGTATATTTTCCTAGATATTTTCCTTTAAGTATTGTTCTGGCCCTCTTTTTTTTTTTCCCCTGCCAACAGACCATGGACATTCTTTAATGACAGTACATACAGATTTACTTAAACAACTTCACTGATGTATCATAATTTACTATTATAATTTTTCCAATTGATGGAGATTTTGGATATCTAAATTTTAACATGATGGTTATAATGAACATTATTAAATATCTCTGAACATAGATCTTTTATATACTCATGAGTATCTTTCTAAGATTACTTGTAGAAAGAAAACTGCTGCTAGGTTAAAGGGTATGCACATTTTTCAGTTTGATAGATTTTATCAAATTACTCTCTACTGTGACTCATACAAGGAGCTCTGGTGGTGCAGTGCTTAAAGCATTCATTGGGCTAGACTAATGGACCATGAGAACCTCAGCCTGTATGACCCAGAGACCAGAAGAACTAGAGGGGCCTGGCTACCAATGCCAACCACTTGGAAAGGGATCAAAATTGGAGATCCTGTATAGAACGAGAGAAGAATGTAAAACAAAACTCAGTATCAGAAAAAAGACCAGGGTTACTGGTCAGACAGAACTGGCAAAACCCCAAAGACTATGGCCCTGAGTTACCCTTTGGGCCTGGAATTGATTTTACTCTTGTAGCTTAACTCTCAGCCAAACAACAGAAAGTCCTGTGAGCTGAACACCTACACCAGAGAGATGTACTTCTTACAACAGTCAACCATGGGAGATCAGAAGGGAAGCATTTGCACAGGTAGAAATGTAGGGAGACACAAAATATGTATATGAACTGTTGAATGTAAAATGAATCTGGTTTGTAAAATTTCACCCAAATCTCTTTCTCTTTCACACACACACACATGACAACGAGGGGAGGAGGAACAATGGCAGCAGAGTATTAGGCTGCTAACCAAAAGGCCAGTGATTTGAACCCACCAGCTGCTCTGTGGGAGAAAGATGAGGCAGTCTGCTTCCATAAAGATTTAGAGCCTCAGAAGCCTTACAGGACAGGTCTACTCTGTCCTAATGGGTTGCTATGCATTCAGAATTGACTTGATGGCAGTGGGATGACTCATAAAAAGCTCCAAAAACTGTTTGGAGAATAATTTTGGAGGTGTTTCTCCTACAATGTTTTCTTGAAACATTATGGATAGTGTGTTTACCTCACCATGATGATAAGAGGACATCTCAGCCACTGACCCAGCTAACTGGGCAACCTTCACCTCTCGCTTGTCATTCCGTTTGAAACAAGTGAACAAAACCTTTCTTTGACCTGGTTTCAAACCTTTAAGATCAAAGAGTGGCAAACATTAGTATTCTCAATTTAATAATTTCTGAGCATTGATTTCTATCTTACGATAAAAACAGACTAACAAATTGTAACTCACCATCAACCATAGAAGGGATAGATCTTTCATTATCAGAATTTGAGAACAGGATAAGTTCTTTGTTTATGAAGTCATTGTAGGTTAGATATGTGGTAGCCTGCCCATACAAGTAATCCTGAGGAGCCAAAGAATATTACATGATACAGTTTATAATGATGGTCTTTGAGGAACAACTCAGAAAAGGAGGGTGGGAATAGTTGCACAACTGGGAGAATGTAATCAATGTCACTGAATTGCACATGGAGAAACTTGAATTTGTATATGTTTTGGCTGTGTATATTCTCAATAATAAAAATCATATATATATGAAAGACACTTGTCTTAACAATGCTTCACACAAAAATAAGCCTCTCAAGAACTATAACTTCTGTGAAAATTTTAAGTACCTCAAAAATAAAGAATTACATAGAACTATTATATATATTTTAAAGATAAAGCAAACCTAATTGTTGCACAATGAGAAAAATATGTGCATTGCCTGTGTAATCTCTTTCAGGCTCAAGACATTAATGTGGCAGCCTAAATAAAAATAAGAGTATTTCTATAGTAACAAATCTGTCCTGGAAGAAGTGTAGCCCAAAGAAGTTCCAGCTCCTTGGAAGTGAGAATGGCCACACTTCATCTCACCTACTTGGGTCATGTTGCCAGAAGGGACCATTCCCTAGGGAAGGATACCATGCTTGATAAAGTGGAGGGCCAGTGAAAAAGGGGAAGAGCCTCAACAAGATGGATCGATGCAGTGGCTGTAACGATGGGCTCAAGTATAGCAAGGATTGTGAGGATGGTGCGTGACTGGGCAGTCTTTCTTTCTGTTGTACATAGGGTTGCTATGAGTCGGAACCCACTTCGACAGCACCTAATAACAACATAGTAACTATTAAAGTTTTCTTTTTACTGAAATAACTACTCAGTAACTATAATTTTCTGCAATAGTGATCCCATAAGGTCGGTCAAATAACAGAATAGTAAATTTTGGAGGATATAATTAAGACTTTTACCTCTGGAAGGCCAAGCAACTTTCGTTGTCTTCTATCCTCCATGAAATGAGTTAACCATTCTTTTCGATCATCTATCTGTTTTTTGCTAAAGGCCTACAAATAAGATGAAAAAGGTAACAAAGGTACTCATAGGTTCCAAAATACCTCTTCTGTAAGAAAACAAATAAGTAAATAAACAAACAATAAAACCTCAGTTTTCTAAACTATCTGGTCCCTTTTTTCAGGGAAACATGGAAATATTCTATTATATAAAACACTTATGAAGAAATTTAAATGTTTTGATTGGCTAGCTAAAGCAGTGATTTATAAAATTAGAATATAGATATGAAATACAATTCAGAACTCACCAGGCTAATTGCAGCATCATCTTCAGGACCAGAATATCTGAATTGAATCCGATGTCTTTTCATATCTGCAAAGTATTCTTTAGCTTCTTTTGATGTGCTGGTGCCCAAACCTACAAAAGTCAAGACACCAAGTTATCCCATATAAATTTTGTATATGGCATAAAACAAAACCAAAAAGTTCTGTATCAGTTTCATTACAAACCTTTGTAGTATTTGACTTTCCATTTTTTATGATTTGGAGTAGAACTCTTCCATTCTTCAAATTCAGGAAGACTATAGAATGCCATTTCTTGCTTGTTTTTAGATACCTGTGATAAAGAACACATTGTGGCTTTCCACACTACTGGGTCCCCTTCCTACCATCATGCGTGGGGCACATGTATATCTCAGTTAGAGGATCAGAATCTTAAAAAATATCCCTTATTCTATCTTAGAAATTAGTGTACCTTTACAATGGGGGTGATAAATTCCTCCAGAAAACGATGTCTTAGAAGAGAAGGCCAGTTGTGATGAATAAAATTAATCAGCAAGCCTTTTATATGGGAACCATCTTGGTCCTAGAGATATTTGGAAAGCCAAAGCACAAAAGAATTATTTAGAAACTATATCTGCAGGGATTAAAAAAAGGCTATTTATATTCAGACTCACTTAACTTGCACATATGATATACAACAATAAGACATGAGTCCAAATTTAGTACAAAATCTAAAATACAACAAATCTGACCTGATCTGTCATAATCATTATCCTCCCATAACGAAGAGTCTTCAGTGAATCTTCATCTTCATAGTTTTTCTTGTACTGAAGACCCACAATCTTAATGATATTGTTAATTTCAGCATTTTCCATTATCTGAAATGGAATATTCCAGAAAAATAATGTTTAATTTAAAATTTTCCAAAGAACAAAGAAATACAACAGTAGATGTTGAGAGGATTTTCTTTCACTCCAGTATTTTTAATTGTTAGCCTATACTGTAGAAAACCATGATTAAGATATAATGGACCCAATTTCTTAAAATAACAACAATAATAAACTATATAAAGTATATTTCATAATGCCCAATGAGGGAATGAACAATAAACATGAAGTCCTGCATTATAAACTAAATTTAGATTCTAACAATAGTTTTATATCTACCTGTTTATGAGAAGCTTCTCGAACATTGAGAATTTTTCCTCTAAGAGGAAAAACCCCATACTTGTCTCTCCCAACCACACCAAGGCCTGAAACAGCCAAAGTTTTAGCTGAGTCTCCCTCAGTCAGGATAAGTGTACAATCAGTGGAGTTTCGGCCTCCTAAAATTAAAGTCCACAAATTTATATTAGCACTTGTAGTTCAACCTCAAATATATTAACTCAGATATGTTAATAGCCTTGTGATAAAACACAAATAATTTAAAATTCACAACATGTTAATTCAGGAGTGAAATAGAGCTAATAATTAAATATTTTAGCTAAAGTTCATAGTCAATAAAAAATACTTTATTTTCTAGACTAATTTCTGAGGATATTTATATTGTTGCTAAATGTTCATATGCTCATTCACTATTAACATGTTTGTTGGGTAGTAGATCACTATACAAACATTTTTGTTTTATATACAAAATTAATTACCGCAGCATTATTTATAACAGCTAAAATTAGAAATGACCTAAATGGCCAAAACCAAAACCAAACTTATTGCCATCAAATCAGTTTCAACTCACAGACAGAATAGAATTGCCCTAGAGTTTCCAAGGCTATAAATCTTTATGGAATCAGACTGTGTCATCCTTCTCCCACAGAGTGAGGGGTTGGTGGATTTGAACCACTGACCTGGGTTAATGGCCAAAATGCCTTACCCACAGCACCATCAGAGCTTCTAAAATGGTCAATAGTAGGAAATTAGCAAAACTATTCTATTATATATTAAATGCCATGGGAAAAGTATTCATGATATGTAATTAAAGCTCAAAATAATATTCAGACAACTGATACATAAGAAAATTGCTAGATATGTAAGAGACGAGAATTGATTTGGGTGAAGAGAAAGGTAATATCAAATTGAGTGACCAATACAATGACATTAAGGAAAAGGAAGACACAGAGGGGTGCACAAGAGGTACAGACAACAAAGATTATACTTATACAATACTGTGTTATCAGTAATAACAAACATAAAAAAATAATATATCAGACAAAAAAAAAAACAAAAAAACCCAAACTCACCGCAGTGGAGTCAGATCTGACTCATAACAACCCCTCCTTGGGTTTCCAAGGCAGTATCACTATGGATATTGCCTGGTCTTCCTTCCAAGGAGTAGCTGGTGGGTTTGAACTGTCAGCCTTCTGGTTAGCAGTCAAATGCCCTAGGCACTATGCCACCAGAGCTCCCAAGGTTGAAAAATTTTTTTTCAGGTGTTTAATGTTCAAACACATAGTGAAAAGACTGAAGGATATTGAACCAACAATGGTGAGCAATTTTCTGTATTTCCAAATTTTCTACAATAAATATGTTACTTTAAAAGCTAGAAAAACATTTACATAGTAAAAAATAAAAATGAATGAAACAACTATAAAATTTAAATTTTGGAAACATTTGTATACCTGCATCATTGGCATCGTCAAGTTTGGGAATCCCTTTGATTCTGTTATGCTTTACAGCTGAACACTTCTTGTTCAACTGGACTTGGGCTTTAAACTTCACCCAGTTTAGTATGCTTTCTACAATACCACAGCCAATTGCCTGCAAATGAGAAGTTTCATGTTAGGGAAGAAGCGTGTGATCAGAAATCTAGAATATAAGTAAGCTCCCCCTCCCCAAATAATGATGAATGTTGTGAATAAGTGAAAAGGGTACTACATATAATAGCAAGTCCAATGTTATATTGGAACCAAGTTAGTTGGGGGAGGGGTGCAAAATAAGTTTTTTTTAAGGAAATAAGGTTTATGATCTAATGTATGTAGTTAGCCAGGTGAAAAGCATTTCAGGCCAAGTGACTGGCATGTGAAATAGCTCTAAGGAAGGGAAGAGACTAAGTGAGTAATTGAAAGCCAGTAGAAAGGAAATTTAGATAAGACAGGAAACAGTGTCATGAGCTGAGGCTGGAGATATAGGCAGGAGTTAGACTATGGCAGGCTTTTATTGGCCAAATTAAGGAATTTGGACCTTCCCTAAGGGTGGAAATCACTGAAAGGTTTTAAAAGTAAGAGAGTGTCATGGATTGAATTGTGTCCCCCCATATCAATTAGGCTAGGTCATAATTCCCAGTATTGTGTGATTATCTTCCATTTTGCGATGTGTTGTAAATCCTAACCTCTATATATCAATGAGGCAGAATCAGTGTGGGGAGTGTCCAGATGCAGTCTTACAAGATAGCATCACACCCTTACTCAAGTCACATCCTTGCTTGAGTCATACCTTTTATCTTACAAAAGCTAAAAGGAGGGAGAAGCAAACAGAGAAGAGAAAGACCTCACTACTACAACAAAGAGCTGGGAGTGGACCATGTCCTTTTGACCTGGGGTCTTTGTGCCGAGAATCTCCTAGACCCAGGGGAGACTGATATCAAGATATAAGGAGATCTCTAAGGAATACCAGGCCTATAACCACTGAAAAGAGACAAGGACCTTTCCCTAGAGCTGGCACCCTGAAATCAGACTTCTAGCCTTCTATATTTCTGTTTGTTAAAGGTATTCACTTTTGGTATTTCTGTTACAGAAGCACTAGATAACTATGAGAATGAAGAGAAAAATGTATGTTTTAACATAAAAAGATCATACAAGAGCACTGTAAAAAAGAATTAAACCAGCTGCCATTGAGTTGCTCCAGACTCATGGCAATCACATGTGTGTCAGAGTAGAATTGCAGGGTTTTCAATGGCTGATTTTTCTAAGTAGATCACCAGGGCATTTTTTTTGAACTACCTCTGAGTGGACTTGAATCACCAACCTTTTGATTAGCAGCAGAGAGTTAACTGTTTGCAGCACTCAGGGATTCCTTTTACTATGGTAGGTTTGTTTGTTTGAGGGTGGGGAGTTCATTGTACAGGGGTCAGTGAGTAGAGGTAATTCAGTTTTGGATGTGTTGTCTGATAGCAGCCTTGAGGCACTTGAGTGAAGATGTTTGGTAGGGAATCTGTTAGATGAATTGAGTTCAGAAGTGTTCTAAGCTGAATATAATATAATCGAGAAATACAGCTAAGCTCCTAGTAAGATGCTGGGGTAAAAGCTGTATTTTACCTCCTGTTCAGATTAGGAAGAATTGGAGAAGTACAGTGTGGGAGGATCTGTTTCTGCAGAGCTGAGAAGGGCAATGGATAATAAAGTAAGGAGCTTCTATTTTTATTTCCCTTTAAGTTACTCACAGCTTTGATGAATTTTTCACTTAATTGGCATGTTGATCCAAAGCTCTTGACCTGTAAAGTCATGTTTTCCTTTGTCTGAGAGTCAAAGGTTGGATTTTCAATTAAGGCATTCACAAAAATCCACATGTGATTTTTCACCTGCAGTAAAAGTTAATAATAAATCACTAAAAACCAACTCATGCTTTGTAAATGGCTTTTCTCTTCTGCCTTGACTTTAGAAAAAGAAAGCTGTGCTAAAATATCATACCTGATGTGCTTTTACAGCAACACCACCTTTGTTCTTCTTCTTCACAACCTCAACAAGTTTAGTCACTATCTGGTCAGCTACATAATCAACGTGTCTACCACCCTGATAAGGAAAATACCAAATTGTAAAACTCAGTATCCTCAAAATTAAAATATTTGAACATTAAAAAAATAAAACAACAAACTTAGCTTCTTTTATATCAACATAGCCAAATATCCAAGTTCATTTTATATATTAACATCAATAAAAACACTTACATGAAAGATAAATCATAATAATTCAAGAATAAAATTACCTTGGAAGTAGCAATGCTGTTGACAAAGCTGATTTGCTGAAAACCCTTTTCACTCATTGTTAAACACACTTCCCACCTGTGGTTTACTTGTTCATAGATAACTTTCAATGAGTTGCCAGTTTCATCTACCTTATCCTTCAAATACATGTCCACATAGCTACGGAATCCTTTTACCTATACAGGAATTAAATGTGATGGTATTAAAAAAACTAATAAAATGGTCTCCACTGACTATCAAAAGAGGACATAAAAGGATTTATTTAGGTGTTCCTTTGAAGAAGAAATTATTTTATTAAGTTTAAAATGAGATGATTAAGGAAATGGTGTATACCATTCTCTTTTCAAGAACATATCTGAAAAGTGGTAAGAAAAACATTTGAGAGGAAAAATCAGTTTTGTACTTGACAATGATCACAAAGCCTCTCATTACTGTTAATACTCAGGAGAATACTCACTGGCAGTGTATTTCCATTGAGAAAGACTTTGACATCTTTAGTGGATCCAGCAATATCATATGCTCTTCTAACCATCAGTGCAACAATATCTTTGTCTAAGCTTTGCATTTTAAACTTCGACAAATCAGGCTGGAAGGTGATGCATGTATAATCTTCTCCATTAAAGGGCTTGAGTTCCATCTCACCAGCTTTCCCCATGTTATTCATCCATGTCTATGGAAGAATAGGAAAGGTGAAAAACTCAAGTCATCTCACAAACAAATAAGAAATAAATAATACAAATTTACAAATCTTAGAAAATAATAGTTATTTTCATGAATACTTTCCTACTATTTTATATTTTATATAAATTATAGCAAACCAACCATTAGTGCCATTATAAACTTATAAATACTTATTTACTTGCCTGTTTGAATTTTTTCTTGTATTCTTTACTGGCTGTTTCCACAGTGAATTTGGTACTGAATATATTACACAGTTTGGCTCCATAGCCATTTCGACCACCTGGGCAAATAAATATGACAAATAATCATTTAAAAGATGTATTTTTTTCCCCCCAGGAACTAATATGTTCTTTATTTTCCTCAATACTCTACCTGTTACTTTCTTCTCATCATCATCATAGTTACTGGAAGTTAGGAGTTGTCCAAAGATGAGGGCTGGAACATACATCTTTTCAACTTTGTGCTCAACAACAGGAATACCTTTTCCATTATTCCATATGCTAATTAAATTGTTTTCCCTAAGAGAATAAAGTTTTTGTTGTAAAATAAACATTAAACTAATACTCAACATTTTTATATTTAAATATTAATATAGACAGAAGAAGTTCATAAATCTCAATTTCCTGTGACTCTTTATATACACCTTCTGAAATTCAGCATGAACTACTTTTCCCACCATGCTATTTCAGGATATCTACAGTGTCAAAGGAAAGATAAATAAAACAAAACAAAAACTTACCCTTTTCAACATCTGGGAAGATACTGATAATGCTTACAAATATGAAAATTTTAAATGTTAGCATAAACAAAGGGAAATGATTTATTCCAAATGGAAAAAAAAGGACAAAAGTTGGAAACAATATTATTTTACTGTGTTTTAGAGGATCATTTGTACTCCTTTAGCATTCCCACTCAACAAGTCATATTACAAAACAAATATGAAAGGGAAAAATGCTATCAATCATAAACTAGCATGCCTACCAATAAAATGCTGAAAACTTGGACTTATTGTTTTAGGTTAACTCTCAAAAAACAGGATATGTTTTAGTTATAACTAGACATACACTATGGTTCTTATAGTATATAATATTACCTATAAAAAAAGACTAATAAAACTAGTTCAATCAACATTTTCTAAAGACAATCATATCAAGTTCCTGGGGGTGTCCAAGAACTTCATCATTAACCTTACAAAAAGAGCCCAAAGTATAATTTACTTCCTAAGTGACCAGGCTAATAAAAATGTAAAACACACACTCTGCATTTATAACCAGAAATGTTAAAATCAAATTATTCTCTACCACCACCTGCTGGTTTATTGTTTGAATAGCATCATGAGAAAAAGTTAAAACTCTAGGCTCTAGAAAGCTGGTATCTCTGCCCTCCAGTTGCATCTGACTCACAGTGACCCTTCCTTGGGTTTCTGAGGAAGTATCACTATGGAAGTAGATTGCCTAGTCTTCCTTCCGAGGAGTGGCTGGTGGATTTGAACCACCAGCCTTCTGGTTAGCAGTTCGATGCCTTAGGCGCTACACCACCAGAGGTCCCAGAAAAATAAGAGCTTGCTCACATTTAGATGCTTGCTAAAGTATTTAGAGATGAGGTGTCATAATATGTTGTTGTGTGCCATCCAGTCAGACCTGACTCATAGAGACCCCTCCTTGGGTTTCCCAGGCAGTATCACGATGGAAATAGATTGCCCAACCTTCCTTCCAAGGAGTGGCTGGTAGGTTTGAACTGCCAGCCTTCTGGTTAGCAGTCTAATGCCTTAGGCACTATGCTACCAGAGTTCCTGTCATAATATAAATATGTAATTTATTTCCAAATGACTCAGAAAAATCTATATAGATGGAATAAATGTGACAAAATGTTGATAACAGGATCTAGGCGGTGAGTACCATAGGTGTTCATTTTAGTGTTGTGCTTTTCTGTACTTTTGACTTAAAAAAAAAAAAGAAAAAAAAAAAAAGCCAATTTCAGTAGTAATCAAAGTAAATGCAAGTAGGATTAACACTAACAATTTGCTATAATAAACAAAAGACCAAGCAAAAAGACATACGGGTCAATTGTGACTTTGATACAAGACATTTTCGGATCCCTTTGCTTGTTGTCTGCAGCATTGACTGAAAGACAATAAAATATATATTTGTAAGTAATTTTGAAAAGATTCATTAAGATGTAGAAAAAAGTTCCTAAAACAGCACAGGAATAGCATTCCAAACCCAAACTACCATTGAGTCCCATTTCATAGTGACCCTACAGGACAGAGTAGAACTGCCCCATAGGGTTTCCAAAGCTATAAATCCTTTTTCTCCAGCAGAGTGGCTAGTGGGTTTGAACTATGGAACTTTTGATTAGCACCCAAATTCTTTAACCACTATACCACCAGAGCTCCTTGAAGTAGCATTAACAAGGTGTTAATGTAGCAATTTTTGTCTATAGTACTGTTTCTAGGAAAGAATTCAATTCTTGGGCTCCAGGAGACTGCTTCATCTTTGCCAACTATTATTCAAAATGACAGGTGCTCTGGTTACGAAGGGTTTGATAGGAATGACACTTGTAAAAGATTTGACCTATAAATCTTTAGGTGAAGAATTTACTCACCTAGAATTTCATCAAAGATTTTGTATAAACCAGGAACAAATGTGACTTCCCTATAATTAATGCCGATATCTTCATCGTAAACCCACATGTGCTAGAAACAAGACAAAGAAATACATTTACTTTCTATTTATTCTGTTTTATCATAGTGATTACTATAGTCTTCTGGATTAACACAGTACTTGCATGATAGCTAAGGCCAGTTCTAGTAACAATCAAACCACGTGAGATATAGAAAATTAATCTACAAAAGTACACATTTTAACTACTAAAAATTGCATTTTATTATCTTGGTTTTACCTGTGTCACTAATTCCACAGAGCCAATGTAGGTATCTGGGCGGAGCAAAATATGTTCCAATTGTGTTTTCTTTTGATAGATTCTTTCGACAGACAGTCTTTTCTTAGCATCTTCATTTTTCTTTGTTTTGTTGATTTGCATATTTTCATTTACAGGCTAGCAATTTCAAAAAATCAAAGAAAAGGAATTTTTAATCATAGGTTTATCAGGAACTATGAACAAAATGTCCATCATAATGGTATGCTTAAACCCACTATTAACAAATTGCAATCTCTAGCAGGTAACGGGGAGTTCTGGTAGCATAGTGGCTAAGGCACTTGACTGCTAACCAGAAGGCTGGCGGTTCAAACCCCACCAGCCGCTCCTCGGAAGGAAGATGGGGCAATCAACTTCCGTAGTGATACTGCCTCGGAAACCCAAGGAGGGGTCGCTATGAGTCGGGTTCGACTCGACAGCACGTAACAACAACAACACAACAGGTAATAGTAGAGTTTAGTTTTGTGCAAACATGGCAATTAAAGTTAACTGCAGCCAGTGTAAATTTACATAGACATACATTATCTCACAAAGTGTATCTGACGTGGAAGTATTTCCCTTCCACACTGCTTTAGACGTCGTCAGTGAAATACACCCACTTCGTTCATCTACTCCATAAATATTTCCTGAGTGTCCACTAGGTCCCAAACACATAACAGATTCTACTTCAACAGCAGCTATTTGGAGACCATCAATTCAATCCTTTGGCCACGTTAATGTTCTGGGCACAGGATGGGCAGTTTTTTTGGAAACTCGCGTCTGCAGGTTCCTTAAACCAGAACCCTCTGCCACGCTCAGCATCTTCCAAGATCTGCAAATTTCAACTCCATTTTCCACAGAGGGGAGGGAGGAAAGCATGTGTAGGTGCTACTTAAAGTTACACGCGGACCATGATAATACAGATCTACCACAGACCGAATTGAATCCTGTCCCTGGAAACAGTAAAACGCAGCACCCTGGAAGCCCGTTTGGCGGCCAACACTTCAATACTACAGATGGGTCTCACCCTGCTCACGATCACCCAGAGGCCAGGAAATGGGGGTCGACAGGGAATATGGATTCCCTGCCCTTCAGGGCGCTCTGAGGGACATCCGGGGCTCCCTGCCCGCCGCGGGGCCGCACCACAGCCCAGAAGCCCTCACCCCTCATGGGCCGCCAGCTATGCCCGGACCGCGCTGAGGCTTCACGACCCGGCCCTTCCGCGAGCTGTACCTGCAGTGGTGACACCTCCATGGTGACGGTCGGGAAGGGCCTCGAGAACCCTGGACTCGACTAAACCGGCTGGAGCCACGAGACCACCGGAGACGACGAAACTACCCCTCTCCTGAAGGTCGTCGGTTAGGAGAGCTCGCCTTGTCCCATTTGAACCTTCCCGTAGCCCGCCCAAACCAGGTAAACCAATCCCTGACTCTCTCTTTCCGGCTCCTTCAAGAAGAACCAATCGTCACTGGTCTTTCATATTCTCCTATGAACGGCTGAGTTGATTGGGGGCCTGTTCGAATGAACCAATTAGATAAGGGAGGCGGGACTAGAGGGTTTCAAACGGCACCACTCCAAGTCTTTAGCCGAGAGACTGACAGGCAATATGGCCAATGAGAAGGAGTCACTTTTTCTTTCAGTGCTGAAAACTATAGAGACGCGCTTTGGAAGCGGGAAGGTTTTCCTGATGTGCCCGCTCAGTGTGAAAAGACATGAAGAAAAGAGGCCATGAAGGCTATTTATTTTCCAAGAACCGCTGTCCTACTTCAGAACCCCTAAATCTGAAAACTGTTCTAAGATTCTCCATTTTCCTGAAGAAACGGCGCTTCTTTCCAAGACAGGCAGTCAAGCCGTTTGGTTAAGCGAACAAGTTCTAGCTTCAACCTCAACCCCTCCTCCCGCAAGAACTTAATTTCAAAGAAATTAGTGCTATCGTTGTGATTTTTAGTTTTCCTGTCAGAAGAAGCTCTGGTGGTGTAATGGTTACAACATTGGGCTGCTAACCAAGGGGTCGGCGGTTTGAATGTACAGAGCTCTGTGGTATAAAGATGAGGCAGTCTGCTTCAGTAAAGATATATAGCTTTGGGAAACCCCATGGGTCGCTATGAGTGGGAATCAGTTCAATGGCAGTGGGTTTTTTTGTTTTGTTTTGTTTTTATTGGAAGGGTGTAGAGAGGCCATGCAAAATAGAAGACAGCTTTCAAGCCCCCCAGAAGAGCAGTAACTGATAAAAGATTCGAATAAGTCATTGCTTCATGAACTGAAGATGGTTTCACTAGTATTGCAGAGATACGTTTTAAATTTGGGCCGTCCTGGAACTGAAACCTTTCCTCGGACTGCCAGTAGGATGTCCTATAACTTGTTACTTTTGCTTTCCTCAGCATAAAAACCTACTGCCATCGAGTTCCAAGGTTGTAAATATTTGGAAGTAGATTTCTTCATTGGCCTCCCGCGGAGCAGCTGGTGGGTTTGAACTACCGACCTCTGGTTAGCAGCCAAATGCCTCAACCACTGCATCACCAGAGCTTTTTCACTTTATATAATATTCCCCACATTCTGCAGTCCAGAGCAGGTGTTCAAATTTGACAAGGAAATGCCAAATTGATGATGAAGTTTTTAGTTTATGATGTATAAATTAAATGAGTAGATTTATGCTTTCTTAGTCAATCCCCAGTGTTAAAAAGAACACCCCTGTCATGAATTGAATTGTGTCCCCCAAAATATATGTCAACTTGGATAGGCTATGATTCCCAGTTTTGTGTGGTTATCCATTTTGTGATCTGATGTAATTATCCTCAGTTTTGTGATATGTGTTATAAACCCTAACCTCAATATGTTAATGAGGCAAGGTTAGGGTGGGTTGTAACTTGAGTCAGGCTTACAAGAGTGTGTGACTCCAGTCCCACTCTTACTCAAGTTAAGCCCTTTCTCAAGTTACTACCTTTACTCAGGGCACATCTTGCTTGAGTCCCACCTTTTATCTAATGAGATAAAAGGAGAGAGAAGTGAGTAGACAGAAGGGACCTGACTACCACCAAGAAAGAAGAGCCAGAAGCAGAGGTGTGTCTTTTAGACCCAGAGTCACTATGCTGAGACTCTCCTGGACTCAGGAAAATTGATGCCAAGATACATGGAGATCTCTAAGGAACAACAAGCCCACAGATGTTGAAAGGAGAAAAAGAGTTTCCTCCAGAGCCAATAGAGAAAGCAAGCCTTCCCCCCAGAACCAGCACCCTGAATTTGGATTGTTAGCCTCTTAAACTGTGAGAGTAAATTTCTGTTTGTTAAAGCCATCCGTTTGTGATATTACTGTTATAGCAGCACTAGGTAACTAAGGTACACACCCCCAAATATGATTTTGCCCTTGTAAGAGCCTAGGAAAAATTATTGCACAATTTGGATGATTACTAATTCCATCTGAACCAACTCCTTCTGAGTATTTCTCCATTAATAATAATCTGCAACTTGCCAGTCATGTGATAATGATGGAGGAAGCTTGTTGGTCTTTCAGTTTCCTCTATTAAACAAAGGAATAATAGTATTACCTCCAAGTTGTGTTAAGATTACATGAGATGAGTGTAAGGTGTTTAGAATAGTTGTTGTTGTTGTTAAGTGCCGTCAAGTCGGACCCGATTCATAGAGACCCCTCCTTGGGTTTCCGAGGCAGTATCACTACGGAAGTAGATTGCCCCATCTTCCTTCCAAGGAGTGGCTGGTGGGTTTGAACCACCAGCCTTCTGGTTAGCAGTCAAGTGCCTTAGGCACTAAGCTACCAGAGCTCACTAACAATATCAGAATTTGAGGCAGGAATTTTCCTTAGGCTGTCATGACAATTTGTGGATTTAATTCTTTTTTTTCTTAATTTTTTTTTCCTTCTAAAGGAAACCAGAGATCAACCATTGTTAAACAAACCTGGCATATCCAATACTTACTCTGCTGGTAAAGCCCAAGGTGGGCAGGCACTGAGGAGGGGTAAGATGTATCAGGAAGTGAAGGAGTTCTCACAGGGCTAGGATAATTGGGAAGCCAAGGAATAGAGCTGTGGTGTTCCTCTAAGCCCTTTTTTTTCCAGAAGCCCCTGACCTCTAATGGGGTTCTGGTGGCAAAGCGGTCAAAGCACTAAGCTGTTAACCAAAAGGTTGATGGTTCAAACCCACCAGCCTCTCCGTGGGAGAAAGATTAGGTAGTCTGCGTCCATAAAGAGTACAACCTTAGAAATCCTATGGGGCAGTTCTACTCTGTCCTATATATGAGTCAGACTCCACTTGATGGCAATGTTCTTTTTTTTTGTTTTTTGCTTGATCACCAACAGCAGTATCAGGTTACTCCATAAACAAGGTAAGTCCTTGTGTACTTGTGCTTACTTACTAATCTGTAGTGAACAATTTCACATTTTTTCACCACTCAAAAGTTCTGCATCTGCCTACAGAACAGGAAAAAATATTAGGCAATGACATTTTGGACAAAGGACTTAGCTCTCAAATTTATAGAAAATTCCAACAGCTCAACATAGTCAAAGACAATGGGCAGAAGATATGAACAGACAGTTCACCAAAGAAGATATTCAGGCAGCCAACAAACACATGAAGAAATGTTTGCAATCATTAGGCATTAGAAAGATGCAGATCAAAATAACCATGAGATACCATCTCACCGAGCATTAATAGCAAAGTTCAACAAGACAGAAAATAAATGCTGGCAAGGATGTGGAGAGACTGGGACTCTCATACACTGCTAGTAGTACTGTAAAATGATGCAACCACTATGAAAATCCTTAGAAAGTTAGACATAGAAATACCAGCAATTGATCCAGCAATCCCATTACTAGGTATATATCCTAAAGAAGTGAGAGCCAAGACACGGATAGATATATGCACACCCATGTTCATCACAGCGCTATTCACAATAGCAAAGAGATGGAAACAACTTAAGTGACTATCAACTAAGGAATGGATAAACAAACTGTGATACATACACACAATGGAGTACTATGCTACTCTAAAGAATAGTATAGAGTCTGCAAAACACAACATAATGTGGATGACCTTGGAGGACATTATACTTTGTGAAATAAGTCAATCATAGAAGGACAAATATTGTATTTGTCCAGTATTTTAAAAAATCAGGAAAGGTTTATACATGGGAGGAAACTTTCTTTCTTGGTTACAGAGATGGGAGGGAAGGAGAGGGAAAATTCCTAGATAGGTTGGGGGAAAAAAAAAACAAAGGAAACCAAAGATTATTAGTGGTTACCAGGGGTAGGAAGGAAGGGGAAAGGGGAAGCTTTTGTTTGGGGAGCATTGAATTTATGCTAATGTGGTAAAATATTTTGGAAAAGGATAGCAATAATGGTGGCACAATGTGAAAAACATCAATGTCCCTGAGCTGTAAGTGTGGAAGTTGTTATGTTGGTGAACGTCTTGTTATGTTGGTGAACGTATGTTTTCACCACAATAAAATAAAATAAAAATAATAATTCTGCATTGGTATGGTTGGCATTTGTCAGTCTCCCGACCTCACAGCACCTTCCTACAGAATCAAAGCCTCTTTTCAAATTTACAATCCCTGATAGGGACAGAGGACTCAGTAAGCAAGGTAACCACTGGCTTACTTGTGCTTACTTGCTAATCTGTAGTGAACAGTTTTTCAGCCTGTGCTTACCTTTCTTATTGGGTAATCTGCCCCTGTCTAGCAGTCCCTACTTTGAGCTCTTCTCTGTTCACTACGTATTGATATGGGAAGGCAACTTCGCTGCACAGGGACCTCCTGAATTTCAGAGCAGTTGTGGAGAAGCCTGTCCAGTAGCTTCTGCCCAGAAGACTGGCAAGATCACTCCTTGTAGTTTCCCCAGGACACAGGATAGCCCTGATAGTTAGAGACTAGCCATGCTACCTTCCGACTCCTAGAACATAGAGGCCCCAAGAAGATGGGGATGGCAGTCATGTAGGAAAATGAGGGAGAAGTTAGACTGCTTCTGCCACTCCTAGCCTTCATCCTTATAGCTCATCCAATCTGGTCTGAGGCAACAGGATTTTAATAAGTAGTTCCAACCCTATTTTCTGAGGCTCAGTTTAAAGTCTCCCCTGAAGTCTAGCCTGATATTGTGTGAGTCAGAAAGAGTCAAAAATTCAGAAGCAGAACTGGACTTTGGAATAAAATCCTAAGTCAGAATTCTCCCTGAGTCTCCATTTCCCCATGTCATGATCCCTTATCAGAGGTCCAAACCAAAAATACCAAACTCACTGCCGTCGAGT